CCACCGCGAGAGCCACTGGTCCCCATGAACTCGTCGAGGATATGGTGGTCCTGGAGCTCGAGCCTTCGCCGTTCAACGGCTCCGAGTGCACTTTCTTCGTCTTCACGTCGCTCCAGAAGAGCAAATCTCTGGAGTAGAGGTAATCCACTCCGCTAGCTCCGGTAGTATTTACGACAATGTTCCTCTCCTCGTCGCTGGCGGACATTCTCCAAACAGCCCTTTCCTGAGCGACCAACAGCTCCAGCTTCACACCGGGACGTTGCTCGGCTCGACACTTGTTCCGTGCCTGCAACGTGAAGCCTGGCGCGCAGCTGCACGTATACGATCCCTCCGTGTTTTCGCACAACTGCTCGCAGAAACCCCATTCCGAGCACTCGTCGCGATCTGTGTGTGACGAGACGATGACGGTAAGCTTAAGCGTAAGAGTTCTCTGTTCATTTCATTTGTAAAGGGACTGTACTATGATGTACCTATGCAAGTCGTTGAGTCGTTCGCGAGGATCCAGCCCGCAGGACAGTAGCAAACACCTCCTGTGGGAGACGCCCGACACTTGTAGCGACAGGCCAACGAGGTGCATATAACTGACGCTGTGGACAAAAGAAGCAAAAACAGGTGGCTTTACTTCCCAACTCGTGCGTTCGAAGCAAGGAAATCGTTGGAATTCCATAATCATACCTGATCTGAGGATCCATATTTTCGCACGTTCAGAAATTAAAGCAGAGAAGGAAGCAGATATTTTTTGTCAGAAAGACCTCGTTTGTCAGTAAGTAGATACACAGAACAACACAGGCACGAGTACATCTCTCCATCGATATGCGTGCCTATATTTTTTTTACGATTGCATCGCTTCTGAACTGAGATAACCAATCGACTGTCTCTTGCCTGTTTGTTGTCCATGTGTATCGTTCCTGAATGAAAGTTCTCAGTCGACGATTCTCACGATGAGCATGCGTTACTTACAACAAGTAGCTTCTTCGTCCGCTTTATCTTCGCAATCAGACTTTCCGTCGCAGATCTGAGAGCGATCAATGCAAAGCGGCTTGCCATCGGCCGTTCCCCGGGGGCACACGAACTTGTTCAGAGGGCAAGTAGTGGTAGTGCAGGACTTCTCGTCAGATCCATCCTGGCAGTCCTTGTAACCATCGCAAACGTAGGATCTCGGTATACAGAGTGAATTCGCGCAACGGAACTGATTAATCGCGCAAGGTTGGAAGTCTGAAAGTATGAAAATACATCAGTAATTCTTTTCCCACGCTTGTTCCTACGTTTTTCAAAGGACACCCGTGTGTTTTAAATTTAATGCACTTCTATCCGTTGTAAAAAATATTCCAAGACTGAAGACCTTTCTCTGTAGGCTTAAAAGTGCAGAGAAACATTTTTGTGAATTGGAAAAATCGCACAAATTTGGAAATATTCAAGCTTGGAATATAAGCTCCTCTGCTGATTGCGAGTTTTACATTCGATACTTCACTGTGTAGGCGACGGATCTCTGGATATAAATTATTTTCAGATAAAAGGAAAAGAACTTTCGGAGACGTACTGCAATTCTCCTCGTCGCTATTATCTCCACAGTCGTCCTTGTAATTACATCTGGCTGATTGTTCAATGCAACGCTGCGTGGAATTACACCTGAACTGATCCAACCTGCAGGCTGGCTTCGCATTGTTCTCGCATTTCTCCTCGTCCCGGCCGTTTCGACAGTCCAGATAACCGTCGCATTTCTTCTCTTTCGGAATGCAGAGCTCGGGTGTCGAACCACCGCACCGGAAGTCATCCGGCTGGCATTTCCTGTAACCTTTTCGACGTTTGTAATTAATAATCTCCCACTTGGTAATTTCTCTTATCTATATATATATA